GTTACCTACTGACTTCTACCTGTGTGCACAGCTCCTATTATTTATTGCAAAAGAAAAAACTTCGACTACTAAGTTGCACTTCAATTTGCATATTAAATTAATGCCAATAAACTACTGTCCATTTATAAAGCTCGGGAAAGTTAAACGCTACAAAAAGTGGACGTGAAATCGCTTCTGAATTATTCACTTCTACAACTCACTTCTGTTCTCTACTTCAGCAAAAGAAGAGGTGTGAATTTCCTTATGTTATAAAGCAAAGAAAAAATTCATTATTCAGAAGACGTGAAATGAAGAGAAGCTAGGCAGGTAGAAGGGAAGGGTGAAAACGTCATCGAGTCATTAGACTTTCTATCTGAACAGATTTCTTTCTAACGATAAATACATTTTTCTTTGTACCAGACAATTGTTTCTTTATTTGTTTTACTTCCGATTTTAACTTAATTAGATAAAAGTGCATGTATTGCCAATAAAACAGAATAATACTAAGGATGGGAACGAATTAACTGAAGAAAAAGAAGAAAAAAAGAAAGAAATACCCATCAAGTGCATGAAGCAATAGCCAGGCTCCAGTACTCAGCAAAAAGGTAGGCCATGGTGAATCAACCAGCAGTACGAAGCCCCAAAAACAAGCGAAACAAGTAATAAGAGCCAATTCTGAGCATACAGACTAAAAGAAAATAAATTACAAGAAAAAAAAATAATATTAAAATATAGTCTTTCTTTTAATAGAATTAATATTACCAATTAATTGCAAAATGTTTTTTTCTTGATTTAGCCAACAGTAATTGACAATTTTCTCGTTTTGCCAACTGCTTTATCCAAAACAGTCTAAGTTTGTCGCAGACTGATTAACAATTCCATTTTTTTCAAAAATATTTACCAAATTTACTCAATTTTTTCACCCGACAAAAAAATTCTGTTGACATTTTTGTCTAAACAATAAAAGTGATTAAAAATTTATAAATTCCAGTATGTATTAGTTGCTTCTTTTTCATTTTGTCAAAGCTGTCGCAGTTATTTAAAATAAAGGAAAACAAAGCCCAAAAAAGAAGAACTGCTCAAAAATGTAAGGTTATTGCAGCCAGTTTTCTGAAGTATTTATCAATTGAAAAAGATGATGGCAGCGATGAAAAAGTGCAATAAATTAAACATTGCTGTTTAAAAATAAAAATTTTTTTGTTCTTCAACCAAAATGCTAGGCTGACCAAATAATTAATTGACTGAAATTCAACTATAAAGCATTGATAGTAAAAATTAATACTGTTCTTGTTTTTTTCTCTTTTGGTCATTTTTTTAATGGACACTAACTTGGACAAAAAATCGAATCTCTTGTTTCCGTCGTTTTCGTTGGGCAAGCATTGATATACAGGAAAACGACTTTATATCCTGCAAAAAGACATTATTTTTTATTTTTCGAACTATTAAGACAGTCTATATGTACACTTTTTGCCTTTTTTTGTTGCCTTATTCTTGCCTGTTGCAGAATAAAAAAAACCTAGGTTGAGATCAAAATTGAAATTTTTTTAGAATTTTTGTTAGT